GAAAACTTTAAGCCTAAACTACATGCTGCTTACGAAAAATATTTATTCTAGTTATACAATGCAGGGACTCCTAAATACAAAAACTTACATAACAATTATTCCCAGGCAGTCAATACCAATAGGACACATGATCGAAGTCCAAGTGTAAGTCTATTGTGAGGAGAAACCCAGGCTCTAACCTTTTCCCACAAAAATAATAAATAGCAAAGATCAGTTCACAGTCAAAAATGACAAAACACATGAGAAATGATCAACCAGGAAAGAAAGCAGACACAAGAAACAACAGGATTGGTACCTTCAGAAAGTTAACTATTAAAACAATCTTAAAAGGCCTTTATTATCATGTGTAGAAACTTAAGAATAAGGCTCTATATAAAAAAAAATACAGATTTTTAGTAAAAGCAAATAAAACTTCTAGAAACAAACAAACACAAAACAACCTTATTAAGATCAGAATGGATTCTCTGCACACCTGAAAATAACGTAAAACTGTAAATCAACTATACTTGATTTTTTTCAAAAATGCAATACTTAAAAAAAAAATCTCAGTGGACTCTTTAAGCAGACTAGACACAATCAAAAGGAAATTAGTGAACTGTAATATGCTTAAGGAAATTATATAGAATAAAGTACACAAACAGAAATACATTTAAATCTAAATACATTTCAGTGGTACATCAGAACATTAAAGAGACACATTTTAAAAACCATCAGAGAGGAATGAAAAGCCAGACTACTTATAAAGATGCAAAACTAAAAGTCATAAGACAATGGAATAGGATTTTTTAAATACCAATTTGGATAGTATGAAGTTAAAGTATCACTGTAGAGTACATATTAAATAAGAATTTAAATAAAGAATGAGATAATTTATCACTCCCAGATCATTCTTGAAAACAATTTCTAATATACTGTAGAACCAAAAACAATAGTCTTAAAAAAGGCAATGGTAAGTAAACAAAGTAGTAAGCATCTCATTTACTATAGGCAGCAATAATAATAATAATAATAATATACTTGGTAGGTTAAGAATACAGTAGAACTAGAATGTTAGAAAATACTACATGAAAGAGATGAGATATAATCCAAGTCAGAGGTCCTAAGGCCTTGTTTGTTCTGGAGTAACAGATCTTCCTGGAAGGAAGAAATCCTGACCAACTGAAACAGAATGTATACTTTAATGGAATACACTAGCATACTAATAAGGGAAAAAAGGGAATGGAGAAAAGAGAATGAATATAATAGGTGGCAAAAAAGAAAGAAAAAAGAAAAGAAAAAACATGGGGAAGAAAAAACATAAAATGATAGTAGAAATGCATCCAAACTTACTGGTAAGCACAATAAATTTTAAGATTAAATCTGTCAATAATAGAGATAATAAAATTTTAAATCCAGCTACATTCTATTTATAATTGTAATGCATAATGACAAAAAAGTCGAAAATGTGTGTGTGGGGGGGGTAAATGTGCCTAGGAAATATTATCTAAAGAAGAAGTTCTAATCCTATGCTATTAGCAAACAAAAGAGGCATTAAAGCATAAAGCACTTCCATATAAAGAGGGTTAGTACACAAAAGATAAAAGGAATGGTTTATTAGGAAGCTACACCACCCTTGAACAGAAATGTCCATGGTAACATAGCTTCACAATATAGAAAGCAAAACAAAGTGAATGACATGAAAAAATGGAAAAATACATAAGCCTGGTGAGAGCCTGACATCTAAAATAGACCAAGAAAAAAAGTTTGAAACACAATAAACACACCTGATCCAATGGATACATATTAATCTCTACACTCAGCTTTTAGAGAATAAAACTTGCTTTTAAAACCACAGAGACAAATACTAGAATACAAAGCAAGTCTCCACACATTTTAAAACACATTTGTTATATAGACAACACTGTCATTTAGTTAGATATCAATAATAATAATAATAAAAGATAGCCTTAAAACCCATAGATTAGGAAATCTTAAAACACTATTTAAAAATTTACAGATCAAAAAAAAAAGGTGAAAGTTAGAAAACTGTTAGAGCTGAATAACAATGAAACTATATTAAATTCACAAAGATAAACTGGAATGTAGGGAGAAATCATATATATATATGTTTACATACAAATGAAGCTGAAAAAGTTAAGCATCAAACACAAAATGGTAGAAAAATTAAAAAAAAAAAGAGTAAATCCCCAAAACATAGAAGATAACGATACACTGAAAAAGCAAAATAAATGAAACAGAAAGTCAAAGAAACAGAGAGAATGAAACAAACTAAATGATGATTCTTTGGAAAGAAAAACAAAACAGACATATCTGTGCCAGTGTCGAGAGGGAGAGAGAGAGGAGAGGAGGAAACAGGAGGGACCGAGGGAGGGAGATGGGGAGAGTGAGAGTGATTTAAAAGGGGAAAATCACAAATGAGGTAACCGTGTAATAAAAAGACACTATTTACAAATGCATGCAAGCATGCAATAAACTTTAAGAGTAAGATGCAATAGGCGATTTTCTGAGAAATATAATCACCAAAATCATCTAAAAAAGAAATGGAAATTCCAAAGAGATATTATGTAACCATTAAAGAAACTAATAGAGTAACTGAAAATGTACTCACACAAAAACAAACAAATAAGCAAAAGCCCATCAATCACTGATAGTTTTATGGGTTTTACTAAATCTATAAGAGGCAGATAATTTAATCTTACACAAAATGTTAAAGATATTAGAGGAAGAGGAAAGACTCTTCAAGTAAATTTGTGACAATAAAATGATCTTAATAGCAAAGTCAAATGAAAGGAAGGCAAAGTGCAGACCACTCCTCTTTATGAACACAGATGCAAATATTCACAATATAGTATGAGCAAATGAATTTAGTAATATGAATTTTGTCCCGTTTTTTATAATCAATGAAAGTCAATCCTGCAAAACCAAGTATGTTTCATATTATATAACCCATCTACTATTAAAGACATTTATAATATATATGACATAGCTCATGATTTAATTTTTTTAATTACATTGGTGAATCAACATATTAAAAATTAAAATTATTTTAATGATGATGCAAAAAAATATTTTTTCATACATTTTGTCATCCATTCAAGTTTCATACAGTAACAACCAGAGCAACAAGTACACTTGAAGAGGTTTTCCTTAACCTAATAAATGTTACCAAAAACTCAGCAATTTAGAAGATGGATAATAATTAAGGTTGCACAACACTGGGAATGTGCTTGATGCCCTTGAATTATATACTCAAAATAGTTACAATGGTAAATTTTATATTATTTATATTTTCCTACAATTTAAAAGCCCTATAGCAAACATCATACTTAACATGGAATTATTAGAAGTGATTCTTTTAATTAGAAATAATACATGGTTTTCTACTCTCATGGCTTCTATTCAACAAGTGTATCAGAAGTTCAGTGCAATAAAACAATAATTAAGTGTGGAGATTAGAAAGGAAAAATTTTACAAATGATATTACTATGTATGAGAAAAAGTTCAAAAGAACCTAAACACAAACTATTAGATTTAAAAGAGCAGTTAGCAGCTGGGTGCAGGAGATATAATGTACAGAAATCAGTGAGATTCTCATATGTTAGCAATTACCAATCAGATAATATAGTATTAAATATATGCCATTTCTGAAAGAAAAATCCCATAAGTTGTTTAGGTATAAATCTAACATAACATCATGAAACTGTATTGAGAAGCATGTAAATAAACAGAGATATTTAGCTTATAAGTGGGAAGGTCTAATATCATAAAAATAGCAGTTATCTACAAATTAATCTATAACTTATGGTAATTGTAATCAAACCTTAATACATCAAAATTAATAAGCTGGCTCTAAAATTAATATAGAAGAGTAAAGAGGCAAAAACAGTTACGCTGACTTAAAAGAAGAATAAGAGAAAGAGATTTTTTTTCCTCCCGGCTATCAAGTCACATCACAAAGCTATAATAATTAAAGAGATATGGTGTTGACACATAAACCATAAAACCTAAAAGCAGAGCTGCACATAGATGGAAACCCAGCCTATAACACAGGTGTCATAATAAATCTATTGGAAAATTAAAAAATACTGAGTAAAAAGTGCTGGTTAAGAGGCCAACTATATGAAAAAGGATGAAATTAGACCTCTAAATCATGAAACTCACACAAATAAATTCCAGAGGCACTAAAGTTCTAAGTGTGAAAGGCAACTTTTTAATGTGTTCAGAATAAAAATATATGAGAATATATGTATTACATTAGGGTAGAGACTAGTTTCTGAAACAAGGCACAAAATGCACAAGTCAAAGAAGAAAATAATAAATTTGACCACATGAAAATAAAAGCAAAAGAAAATTTATATGCATCTAAAGATGTCTATAAAAAGTGAAAAGACAGATCAAGGAATAAGAAGACACATAACAAAGCACAGGACTGCAAAGAAATCATATCTGAAACACAAAAAGAATGCCCAAATTAGTAAGAATAGACCCACCACTCAAGGGAGAACTGCTAACAGGAAAGAAGCCAGAGACCCCAAATGATCAATAAAACCAGTGGAAGAGGTTTAACTTCATTAATAATCAGGGACACTCATATTAAGCCACCAAGAAATAATTCCCAATGTGTCAGATTTGGGTGAATCCTGAAGGCTTGGTGCCTTGAATAAACACATCTGAGAAATTTCCCCCAACTGGTGAAATAAATTGCCAACTGTTAATTGGGATAAAAAACCAATTAGGACTTCTTCCAACCATCTACAAACTGGGCTAAAAATCTCATATTCTAGGACGTATCTTCATACATTTGAATGCTTCCCAAACTCTAAACGATCCCTCTAACGAAGCCAAGTGGTGCTCCTTCCAAGCTGATGAAAACGGTGCCTCACACAAGAGGGCAGCCATGTTCCCAGTCCTCAGTGTAACCCTGGGCATGGCATCCGCCGGCCCATCCGGGAAAGGTCTCTACCAAACAGAAAGGGGCGGCGGGGGGCAGGGGTGCTTACTTGGAGCAGTCTTCACAAGCAATGTTCCCTGAGGTTTCCTTGATGGTGCGCTCAGAGACGAACGCTGGATACTCAGTGTCACAAGGCTCCAGGGTCTGTTTCAATTTCTGGGCTGTAGGGATAAGGGGGGAAAAAAAGATAAAGAATACAAGGCACTGACTTTGTTGTGACTGGCAGCCCATAGTAACTCAGAACGCAGTTCTGCTCCTGCTGCTCTGTGATTTTTCTAGGCACAGCATAATGCATTATTTTCTAATTAGTCAAGTGATTTCATCTGCCAAGCAACTCTATAAGCTATAATTCCTCAAGCAGTTCTGTTGGCGTGATCAACTATCATTTATGCATCTCAAGAATTCTACTTTCTGGTACAACATCACTCACTGGGTCTCTGGCCTCAGACTTATGTGACCTCAGCAACAAAAACACACACACACATATACATCCAAATAAATGTATAAAATATAAGCTATACTGTATTATTTAGGGTGAGATAGAGGTCATAATACAATTGCATGGTTTTATTACAGAAACAAAATTGAAATATGGAATAGTAAAATACGTAATGTCTATGAAACACAGCCATGAACCTAATCCCACTATTGTGAAGTTCCTTGTGCAGAAAGATAGTACTAAATAACCCTGGTACATGGGTAAGCACATAGTAGGTACTTGGTAAGGGCTTGGTGGTCTATTAAATAATTTAAACAAGTTACGTCCAGTAGGAAAATTTCAAAACCTAATATTTTAAATTTGTAAATTAGGCATGATATACTTCTTCTATTAGAGGTTGATGTGAGAACTCAATTAAATAATATATGCTGAGTACTTAGGGCAATACCTGGAACGTAATGAGTGGTAATGTCAGTTAATAATAAAAGCAAAAATTTTATTTTCTTTTCTTTAAAAAACAAAAATAAAGGCAGTATTGTCATGAAGCCATTAGTGATGATGACAATGATGATAGATACCATTAGCAGAGTTATTAAAGGTAAAGTCAGAGGAGTTTGGAATGCAAATTCCTGCTTCACTACTTTGAGCTAATCCTCGGTATTCTCATCTGTAAAATGGAGATGCCAGCAGCACAGGTACTCTTCACAGGAGGTTTACTCATGACCATTTTTCCAGTAGAACGTTTGCTTATAGATTCCCAATACTCAAACTTCGTATGAAGTTTCTGACTGATGTTTATGTGGATATAAACATATATTTGTAACAATCTCTCCAGGTATATTCCAAACACAACTGGTTTGGATGTCAGAACCACCATTAGATGTTTCATAGAATGCCCATCTGGGAGCCTGCCAGCACTAAGAGAGGCATCACAGAGTTACTGAGTGCAAAACAACCGTTTGGTAACAACCAGGTAATTGCTGGGTGATCAGAAAGCCATGTTTTAAGTGTTTATATCCTTATGTGATTCTTTTATATACAGGCCTTTTTACTGAGCTTTAATTATTCTGAGGAAATTGATTGAGGGTTTGGAGTTGAAGCATAATACATTGTAGTTTTTCTTATTTAAAACAAAAGGAAGTAGACTCAATCAGCTTTTTGTGCAAAACGTGATTTTAGGAACTGGTCGCTGACATTAAGCGGTGATTCACATACTAACTCACAGGGTTGTTCTGAGGAACGAATAGACTAATGCATGCATAACTCTGAACAGAGTGACACACAAGCATCTTTTCACGTACATTTTTGCCCCTCTCTCCCCACCTTCATGTTACCACCTACATACCATCTTCATGTTACTCTACATGCTAATTGCAGAGTAGCTACCAGCGCAAATTCTGGGTGTTATGAATTCTGCTGCTGCTGTGTGACGTTAAGTGGGTTTTTAATTTCTGCACACTGTGATGTTTTCTGCAAAATGGGAAGAACAGAACCAACTCCAAAGGGTCGTTTGAGGATGAAACAACTTCATCTATTGAAAGTGGCTGGTACATTGCCACGCTTACAGCCACCACCACTTCTACTGTGAATGCTATTTCATTGAATCCTCAGACTGTCAGCCTTATTGGGCCATCACTGTTTGGTTGGAATAGCAAACAGCTGCCTTCCTGATCCTGACAGCACTGAGGGTACGAAGCTGGCAGCCATCGCGCCTGCAAAGGGCCAAGTTCCAGACACTGTCTATGCCCTGAGCCTGCAGTGCTAGCTCTCAGGAAGTGTCCTTACATGCTTGCTGAGCAAATGAATAATTCTTTTGAAGGGTGTTTTTCGGGCAAATAAAAGTGACAAAGGAAACGGGAGATTCTCAGTCCCTAACGGCAAATGGCCTGCCTCGAGTGGAAGGCAAGGGGATTTCAGGTGGCGCAGGTTCAACAGTAACAACACAGAGGCACTTGGTTGGAACATCATTCTCTTCCCATTTCTTTATCAGTGTCCTTGATTCTTGTCAGGCAGATGACTTTGATGCTAGGCAGTTTTTGCCTTTTTTTTTTTCTTTCATTTGTTCTTTTTCTCCTTTATACTAGGGAGGCCAAACATGAAGCTCAGAGGAGCTAACTATAATATGATAATACAGTTTATTTTCAGGGTTGTTATTTTTTACAATTGATTATACAGCAAACAGGACTAACTTTTAATTTGGGAAGACACATTTTAATATTTAATATTTAATTTTCAAAAAGTCAGCTCGCTGAAATAAAGATTACATAAATAAAAGCATAGATTATAAGTTAATACAGTGCAAGCATGTAGATGGCATATAATGATGGTAACAGCTAAATTTATTAAGAAATTACTATATGCCAGATGTCATTCCACTTTACGCATATTTATCTAGTACTACATGACAAAATTTAAACAAATCAAACTATGAGATAGGAGAAAGTGTTAATTCTATTTTGTAAATTAGTGAATGGAGGAGAGGATGAAGTGAACTGCCTAAATTCATCCAGTGAGTATGTGGCTGGGCCAAAATTTGAACTTGGACTGTCTGGTTCCCACACATATATATTTAACTGCTGTATAAAGTTTGGCCAATGAAAGAAAGGAAGAAAGATCTTTGGGGGGGGGGGGCAGGCTGACAGGTAGCACACGTGATTTAAATAACCCTGATAACCACACCATCTCTAATTGTCTGGGCCCAGTTACAATGGAAAGAGTCCAAATCTCTCAGTGGAGAGACTCATTTGGCTCTGATCCTTTCTGGGTAAATTCTTATTCCTTTCACAACTCTAGGTCACCCATAATGATGTGGTAATAAGCCCTTGAGTTTATTTGAAGTAAGACTATAGATTGGCTAGAAGTTGCTTGGCGCTTTTGGGAAACACATGAATTATCATATAAAACCATGGCCACATTTAATCTAAATAGTATGGTTTATTATGAAGATGTTTCTCTGTCTGGAGTGCTACAGGAAAACACCACATATATTTGCCAGTTGTTACTGTTTATTTATGGGATTTCAAATCAATAACTAAGGCTGCCAGTCATCTGATGGGTAATGTTTTAACTCTCAGGCATTTAAAACTCATCATCTTACAAAGGTGTTGGCACATAAGGATCGTGGAGCTCAGCTAGACTGATTCTTTTTTTTTTCACAGAAGAGAAAATTGAAGTTCAGGAAGTAGACAGAGCCTGCCTTGAGCCCCACGGGAAGTGACTTATCACGATCATCATTTACCTAAACAGTAAAACCACCTTCGCAGCCAACACTCACTAAGTGCGCGCATGCGTGCGTGCGTGGGTGCATGCTAAGTGGGTGCATGCTAAGTGGCTTCAGTCGTGTCCAACAACTCTTTGTGACCCCATGGATGGTAGCCCGCCAGGCTCCCCTGTCCAGGGGATTCTCTAGGAAAGAATACTGGAGTGGGTTGCCATTTTCTCCTCCAGGGGATCTTCCCAACCCAGGGATCGAACCTATGTCTCTTACATCTCCTGCATTAGCAGGAGGGTTCTTTACCACTAGCATCACATGGGAAGCCCCACTAAGTGCCTACTACAAGCCAAACACCACACTAGATCCTTTGATGGATCGAATTTTCACCCTCTCACGGTGAGCACGGCCCTGCAGCTATCCTGTTTTACAGACGAAGAGACTAAAACTCAGAGAAATGAAGTAAACTGCTTGCCTGTCACACCATTGTATGCTCTGAAGCCCAAATGCATATGCACAGCCTCCTGACATCCTGGAGCCTTCACTCTTGGCCATCACCCCGTCTGCTTCTCACCCCAGTTACACTGGATGTCTCAGGCTGAAGCCGCCAGGACCTATCACTCACTTACAACGAGGTACCCAGTGGAGCATCCACACAATTGGATTTCTTTAATTTTCCCTTAGCAACAAATGTCCCTGATGAGAATAACTGACTTGGGTTCACAGTAATTATGTGCAGACAATCAGGAATGAATAGAGTTGCCATTTGAAAAGCTTTCGTCCTCTTTTGTCTCTGCGAATGCACCCTCATTCATAACCGGGTGCCAGCAAGCCCCATTCTCTTTGTGCAACTTCGCCAAAATGATACCTTTGTGATAATCAAGCAGAAATGGCCTTCCACAGTCCCCTTCATTAAGGAAATGAAGCAGATAAACAGTGTAATTATGGATTCCATTTTTAGCTAAACAAAGATGTATGTCTCAGCTCAGGGTCTTTATCCAGTGAGAGAAGGGTAAATTTAGAATGCAGAAACCTCGCAAGGCAATATTGTTATGGTGCTTGGAACTTTTCCCGGCTTATACTGGGTCTGAGACTCACATTCACATCTAACAAAGATTCAGATGATAGCAGCTCTGTGAGTGAGAGCATTCCCCACTGCAATCAGTTTCTTCATCTATAAAATGGAAAAAGTCATAGCCATGCCCAGCAGAGGGCTGCAAGTCCGAATGAGACAATCAATCCACGTGCGGCAGCCTGCTCAACACAGGACTCACAGAAGGCCAGCTGCGTCTCCCGCCGCCCTCCAGCGGAGGTGGCCGGTTTTGGTTTACCATCGAGCTTATTTTCTCCTAGCTGCCTGACTTAGGTGCCTCGGAGAGGCTCAACGACACGTTCCAGCAGTCCCCACCTCTCAGGTATGTTGAAGGGATCTGAAGAGGACCCAGTGCTGGCACTCTGGAAGGAAAAAAGTGCTACATACGGGCACAGCACTTGCAGATGATTTAAGCATTTGACAAGGTCTTCGTGCAGTCTGTCAATGGAGTGAGACGATTTGGAATTATCTATTAAGAGTTGTTTAAAAAGTTTCTAAGACAGAAAACACAGACCTGCAACATCACATCATTCCTCTTAGCTAAAATTTTAGCTAAGTTGGAGGAGAAAGAAGGGAGAAGAAAGGTGAAATTTCAGAATGAGAACCTCCATGAGTTTCTGAGTGCAAAGATTGTGCCCCCCCCTTCTTATTTCTTTTTTCTTCCTTGCCCCCCCCCGTTTTCCTTCGGGTTTGTTCATTGTTGGCCTTTTTGCCTTTTGAGTCAGATGATTCTTTGTTGTGAGGGGCTGTCCCATGTGTTACAGAGTGTTTTACGGGCATCTCTGACCTCTACCCACTGCATGCCAGTAGCTCTCTCCCATCCCCAGTTGTGACCAAAAATGTCTCGACATTGCAATGGCCCCTGGGAGGCAAAATCACCCCTATGCTGAAAATTACTGGTCTAAGCAGATATCCTAGTTCACAGAGACTGGCACTCAGAAGCAACTCAACAATGAACTGTCCATGTCAAGGACCAGCACAAGAGTGAGGGCAGATGCCTGTGGCAGCAGGGAAGGGAAGCCGGCCAAGGTAGGAGTGGGGTTAGTGGCAAGGAAGGTTGACACTCACCACAAAAGCCTGGTGGGCAGGCCATGTGAATAAGAATAGGAAAAAGAGGAATGCCAGAAAGTGAAGGACTGAAGGCCACCAGCCTGCTGCCCCAGCACTGAGCACACTCCTTAGAAGGAGCCAGACAGTTAAGCCAAAGGAGCCACCAGCTCCCAAAACGGGAGCCCCGCCTGCCACGCATGGTGACTTGCCCTGCGCCATACCTTGCATGTGGGCTTTGCACGCATGGCTGAATCCATTGCTCACAGCCGTATCACATCTTATCTCTGTTGACAAGCAAGGAAACCAAAGCTCATAATGACCAAGCAACTTGTCCAGAACCGCACAGCCAGCAAGTGGCAGAGGAAGGCTGCCTGACTCAGAAGTCAGGTGCTTCACCTCTAGGTGAAACCGGGCTCCAGGCATGACTGGGAAGGACGGAGGTCTGTCCCAAGGCATGCTGCCGCAGAAATGGCAGCCATCTGACCAACTACCACCCACTCCCTTGGCCTCCACTGGTCATTTTCCTTCCTTTTCTCTCATTTAATCTCATGTACCTTTTTTTTCATCCCAATAGTAAAAATCTGGACATGGTAGCCAAGTAAGAAAAGCGACTAGAAAAAGATAATAAGTACCCATTAGGTAAGTTCCTTCTCATCTTCCTTTTTCAAATCATCTATAATTTTAAACAAAAGCAGGTTCATGTTAGAGGTAAAATTTTCTTTGGGGTATCTGAGGGTCTTCTCTTCCTAATTCATATTTTGGTCCCTGTTTATTGACTCCCCAGTGGCCTGAATGCTGATCCAAGTTAATTCTACATCCTCCTTCTCCCCAGTCATTGGGGGTTTGGGGGGGCATACACAATTTTGCATATTGTTTTTCTTGCTAAGTATTACTAGATTTTATAATTATTTCCTATGGCTTTCTGTGAATGGGCTATCATTTTTTGGTAACTGTAAGTTTGTTTCCTATTGTCTATTTCTGTTTTGTATATAGATTCATTTGTATTAAAAGTGATGTCATACAGTATTTGTCTTTGTCTGTCTTACTTTACTAAATATATTCTCTAGTTCCATCCATACTGCTGCAAATGACAATATTTTATTCTTCTTACAAGTCAACATCATCATCACCATTATCATAAATGAATTACAGCTACCTTTTTGAGGGCTTACTATATTCCAGTCCTACACTCAGTATACACTGTGATTTATCTTACCATTAAATGCACAAATACACACAAATAATAAGATAAATATTACTTATTATTTTCTTTATTTAGCTTACTGCGGGGAACTGAGCCTTGAAGAGATCAGCTAACTTGACAAAGGCCAACCTCAGAGCCAGAACTTATATCTATATTAATCTAACTCTAAACTCAGGCCTCTAATAGTTTCTACTAATTATTGATTGAATCATTGATAGCTTTTTCAGCAAGGAAAATAATATGATCAGATTTATATTTTATGAAAGGTAATAGTAAAAAGGTAATGGTCGTTTATTCATTCAGCCTGAGAAAGGCAATGTGTCTGTGACCCTAAGATTTCAGCACTGCCCACTAGCTTCCGAAGAATTCACCTGTGCAGTGTATGACCTCAAAGCCTGAGTTAAGGAAACAGGTCAAAGTATACATTCAACATGCGCTGTGGAATTTCTGTCAGACTGAACGGCGCTGCCCTCAGCACAAAGGATGCCTTCTGCTAACAGAAATGAGAAATCATCACTTTGTCCTGGGTAGTTTTATGTGAGCACATCCCTGGTGAAAAGTAGCTGGTGAACCCCAGGTTCATCACTCTGAACAAGGAAAACGAAGACAGCTGCTCCTTACCTTTAGCTGTCATATCTGAGTGCCACCAACTGCAAAGGTTAAATTCCACCAGAAACCTAAGCAGGGAATGGAAAAGCCCAATGTTACTTGGTCACCCACACCCTGAATGGAAGAGTGACATTCTGTGTTATTCAACATCACTCACCTCATTTGAAAGAATAACATCATCTGATATCTGGATATATCAACATGGTTGGTTCAGTCACCACCAAATTTTCACTAGGTTTTATCTTACTAGTGAAAGACTGTTTTATCACCAATGCCAGGCAAACCCTGAAATCAGGTTCCCTTAAGATTCAGGGATTCTTTTGAGAAATATCATGCTTTATAGGGAAAACTTTTTTTCTTGTTATAGTCTGAGTCCACAGTAAAAAGTCCACATTCAAAGGGCTTCTCCTGCCTTGGTTCAGAAATACAAACAGAATAGCCTCTATTTAAGACTATGATCTGCAGTATAAAGGATGCTTTCAAAATTTACACTGTAACACAAATGCATTTGAGTGTGTGTGTGTGCGTGTGTGTGTGTGTGTGTGTGTGTACGTGTAGGGCAAGGTGGTGAGGACAATTGGAATAAACTTCTTTTTAGGAAATTATGTCCCAGTGCAACTTCACAAAAATTATAGTTTCTCAATTGCTAGTAAAGAATGCCAGTGAAAGTGAAAGTTGCTCAGTCGTGTCTGACTCTTTATAACCCCATGGACTATACAGTCCATGGAATTCTTCACAGCAGAATACTGGAGTGGGTTGCCATTTCCTTCTCTAGGGGATCTTCCCAACCCAGGGATCAAACCCAGGTCTCCCACATTGTAGATAGATTCTTTACCAGATGAGCCACCAGGTAAACCCAAATGAAAGGAAATAGATCAAAATCTAGTCATTTCCTTCTCAGGCTCATGGCTGCTATCACTCACAGCTCACAACGAAAATTACACTATTACCTGTATTTTCTGTCTCTTATCTACATGAAGAGCTTACTCTCCACATGAAGTTATACTTAATATAGGTGACATTAAAGCAATAAATTAGACACTGTCTGTTCACGAAATAACAAGAAATCTGCCTTAAACACACAGAACTGGAAATTTAATGGGGAAAGTAAGAATAAGAGTTTGGTGCAGCTTGAATGATTTGGTTTCCATGCTGGTCCATGGAATTCCTTCCTTCTGTGTGACACAGTGTTTCTGTAATGTGTCCAATATCTCATCTGGAAGTCAAGCCTTTCATCTTTGTGCCATTTCAAGTCTGACCTAAGTCACAGATGCATCCAGCAGGACTGTAAGTTGACAAGGTAAACAATTAAATCACACCTGAGAAAGCCCCGACCCATGACTGCACAGGCCCCCACGTCCGCACATGGCAAGACATCCAAAGCAGCACGGTGGACAGCCCCGGCAATTTGTTCTTCTGACCACAGCCCACCCAGGCTGCGCTAAACACAGCCAGACATCGATGTTAAATTTAACAGTAACCACAATAAATAAATTTGGTTTGTGTACTGTAAGCTGTTAGTCTGCTAAACAGTGACATAAGGGCATAAGCAGTGACCACGATTCACCTATTAAAAGATGATCTTTCAGACTCTACGTTCACTATTTCGAGATGTTCAATGAGTTTATCGCAGAGTATTAGGAATCATCTAATGTTTATTGGAAGCATGAAGCACAATCTCTCAATTCACTTTAGAACACAGTGAAGTAATGCTTTTTTAAAAATACAGCAAATTGTACTTACAAGACAAGTTCTGTCATTATCCATTTTACTGCGGCAAGGAAGGCATTATAGGGCTGCAGAGAAGAATTCGGTTCATTAAAAACAATGTATCACACACAAAATTTGTAGTTTAACCTAAGGCTTTACATAAAGACAATGTTATTCTTCTAGAGAGATTCATATCATGTCAAAAAACAGTGAAGCTCTCCCTTAAAGATGAAAATGGTTGGATACTATATCCCAAAACTAACATTTTAAAACTTTGAACTCCCCTGTGGTAAGATGTGATTTACAAGTCAAATAAACATGATCTAATACAGGGGTTATCTCTGGGAGGAAAAAGGAAGTTCAGCAAACGATGCTTAAACCTTTACCCTCTGGGGGCTAATATTTCGCAGCCTAATGCTGAGCAGCAGGAATCATATAACTAATTTCAAATGGTAATTCTCAGGGCTGCCTTTTGGAAAGGTGATTCCCTGTTCTCCATCACTGTATGTCATTCATTGAAATAAGCAAAAATTGCACATACTTGATTTTAATGTCGCCCATGAATTATGTAGGATTTAAGCTGCCTTTTCTTACACTCACATATTCGGACTTGAAAAAAAATGATAACCATATAAACATGTGATTTTATCCTTGCAGAAAATCCCCTTCACTCTATAAAAGAAGGCATTGACAGGCTAATCTTTATTTCAGAATATTTTAATTAAAAAAAGCAGTGGGATTGTTTACCCTGTGATATTTCCTATGTGGATAATTCAATTTCCTGAATTCTGGAAAATACCAGGTCTCCCCCTCAGTCAGTTCTTTGTACCTAGGTATGCCAGATATGTGAGCAGTGGGTGGACTTGAGAGACAGGCAATGACATTGGCAAAGCCCGGGCCCCAAGCTGCAGGTCCAGAAAAGCCTCAGAACCTTTTGTGGTTTCCTTTAGGTAGCAGGGAAATGAAATGCCTAATCCTGGTTTCTGATGTGATGGCTGCTTAATCCTACCATCAAAGCATTTTGATGATAAGGACTAGAACTAGGAATGGGAGGATTATCCAGTTTCAAATAAAACAAGAACAAATTTGTATACCTCTGAACATTTTTAAAAACATCCCTATTCAAGCCAATAAGCAAATACACAGAACAACAGTCCGCGGGGGTTACTCCCAGCCCACCCAGATGGCAGACTGAATCTCTGACTCTGATTGAGTGTGTCCTCATCACTCCCTGAACCACAGGGCTTTCAGGATTAGGGTCATCTAAGGATGGGAATTATTAACTATTTCCTAAAACCAAATGCAGCCATGCCGTCCTGTGGTTCTGCCATTACACTTCTTATGGCTTGAAAAATAACCATCTCTCTTTCAGGCAATAGGACAGTTCTGGGTCTTTGTACCCACTGGGATGGGTAGTGACATTTCAGTGTGGGAGGAGAGAATTAATAAAGGGATTAAGGAAGTTTTGGAAGTGAGGAGGGGGAAGCACAAGGGCAGGATACTCAAGAATCCTCTGTCAGATTCTGGCTCAATGCAGGGTAAACAAAGGGATTATGTAAATATGGGATTAAAAATGTAAATGCACATTAACTTTCAGAAGGGCAAAGCCATTGAGCTTTTAAGCCTAATGATAAAAACATATCTTGGGAACATTTTAAGTCTGGAAATACTTATGCTAAGGTTAGGGAAACTGGGTTAGGAAATATGTGTTGATCTTCATTCTAAAAAGTGGTATTTTTCAAATCGTCCCATTTTTAGTTCCAAGTTGCCTCTCAGAAATGTCCTAGCTCAGAATTATTTCTTGCTCCCTTAGTGTAGGAGAACTGTGTTAAATATTTGGTTTTTAAATAATCCCCTTGCAAGATCTTACATCTGCAAATGAGAAGGTGTGTATTTATATTTTAAAACCAAAATGGTTCTTAAATTTTGTGTTTCAAACCAAATTTTAGGTTGATTTTTGGAATTTACAAAATGATAACATGTAAGGGTTATACTTATACCTATATGTCAGACTCTGTAGACGTATCTATGTCTGCTTTTTCTGTGTTTTCAAGTTATTGGTGGCCAAACTTACATTGCTTGCATATTGTAAATTATATTTTTAAACCAAGGGTAAATTTTAAGTTAATTTCTGGTGATCTGAAAGCCAGTTCCTAATGATACAAAGTTATGTTGATGGATCCTCAACTGTGACACCATGGATGGGCGAGCTCCAGGGAAAACAATGTTAAAAGCAGCAGGACAATTAGAGTGGAGAATCTGATCAAAATGTGGATTTGTTCACAGGCTAGCAGCCCTATTATAACCAAAAAGAAGGTTTCTATTGAACCAAACCAAAGTCTCATTTATTTGAGAATGACAGAACAGACAAAACTTCTCCCCTTTTCTGCCCATCAAAAGGGGGGCTGCTGCATTAATCCATCAAAGACTTTAGGTCTGTGTGTCATTCCAGAAATCACTGGATTTGGATTTAACAGAAATAACTTTTCTTAATCAATGAAATCAGGAAACACATTTAAATATTCATTATTTTGAAACAGATAAACTTGATGGGTCCAAGGAAAACTATACGCTCACACACCGAGACAGGAAAAAACACACATCTGTCTTCTGAGTGACTGAGCTGTACTTACATCCAGAAGACCATGGGCGCTGTCGCTGCTCTCCTTGTTGGCCCTGCACATGGCCTGATAGTCATAAAGGGTAATTCTACAGAAGAGAAGGGAAAGGAGCTTCACTAAACGGGAAAACATGAGATCCACATGGTGCTGTGGATCAACCAGCAGGTGAATAGTCACGAACCACCAGCCAGCGCAACAGTGGCGAACACAAATCAAGGCAGGTCTAACAAGGGTATTGTTTCCCAGACGGCTCAGTGGTAGAGAATCCACCTGCCAATACAGGAGACGTGGGTTCCATCCCTGGGTTGGAAAGATCGCGTGGAGAAGGAAATGACAACCCACTCCAGTATTCTTGCCTGGAGAATCCCATGGAAAGAGGAGCCTGGGGGGGGGGCTACAGTCTATGGGGTCACAAAAGAGTCGGACACGACTCAGTGACTAAACAACAACAAGAGTGACAAGCGTGGGACACGGCAAAGTCCAGGACTACACACACAATCATGTCACACTCGGAACTTAAAGGTTATCAGTGGGATGGAAAAAGGGGAGCAGAACCCTCCTCCCCCAAAAGCATGATAAAATAGTCACTTTGGCTTGAACAAGAATGACTTGCATGGACAAGGATACCCCAAAGGGATACGCTGTTTTAAAATGAATCCTGAAATAAATAAATAAATAAACGGAATCCTGGGCCTATGCTGGAACCCACATGGACTGTCTCCAAGGCTGAGAAGAGCTGGGGAGGGTCACTTTGGGTTAAGAAATGGCAGGATCCATTGTCTCTTTTAGGCACTAAGAAATAGGCTCAGACTAAGAGAAAGCCAGATCCTTGACTATTTGTTGAAAACCAGCTGACTCCTTGGTTGGAACTCCGCTCCCTCTCTTTCATTACACCACCGTAGTAGTGAGTATACACTTACTTTTGAAAACAATGCAGTTTATGAAACAAGAAAATGGATTTTTTTTTTCCTGCCTTGGTGGTAAAAATATTCCAGTTATGACCTTTATTCAGCTGCAATGATATTTTACTTTCAATTTTTTTCCAGACATTTTAGTTTCTTATTAACACATTTACAAAGCAAAAAAGAATGGCAATTTCCAGTAGCCAGTTAAGAGCTTTAAGATGGAGCAAATACTTTATCCCACACATGTATTTCATCCCTCCCCCAAGTTCCTCTTTCCACTATTCCTGGCATCCCAAAGGAGAGACACTTAAAGTCCAACCTGAGTTATGTAACAGTTGCCAGATGACACGTTAACACTGTAATACATGAACTTCTAAATGACTAGAAGGAATTCTCCCTCCAGGAATCCCTTTCTGAAATAAGACAGTGCTTAATGTGAAACATACTTAATGTTGGGCTGGGAACGTATGCTAGAATAAAAGTTCCATACTGCAGGACTGGGGTTGGATCTGTTTCATACCAAGCATAGCACCCAGCATGGAGAAGGTATTACTATGCTGACTTCAAAGGTTGAATGCATGAAAGATCATCTGATTGCCTGAATCTTGAATAGTCGATGAGGCAACTGAGATTGAAGAGATCAACTGCAAAACGTGATGTGAAGGCTTCCACCTTTAGAAATAAATTAGAGAGATTACACACCCAGATTAACCAAAGAGCATCTATGGGCACCCAGAAGAAAACTGGCCACTCTGACCATATTGAGATGGAAACCAGTTCGTGATGAGCACCACACAGGCATTCATAGGTGGCAAAGCCAAAGTGGGTACCTGTGCCACACAATTTCCTGGAAAGTCCTCCAAAGCCCCTTCCTCTTCAGGACATTTTTAGTCTTGTTGACTGTCCTCTGACTTTTTTCCTCTCAGCAGAGGAAAGCAGAACCAGTGTACATTGAGAAAGAAATGAACCAGTGTACATTGAGAAAGAAATGAAGCCTATGAGCCACCCAAGCATCTGGCGTGGGGAACTCCCTGAATAAACTTCTCACAGAGACACTCATCACTAATGCAGCCCTGACACTGACTCAGCCATGGAATAAGCTGTAGGCCACAATGGACAACGCTAATTGGCCCCTGACTGGCCCACCACGCCGGTCTGCATCCTCAGCAGGGGATTTCTGCAGGTGCCCCCGGAAGGGTTTTCTAGGGTTTGACCAGAACTATTATTAGCTTTATCCTTTTCCTACTAGCCAACTCTGTCTCTGCAGCTGGAATCTGGATCAGAGCTGGCGAAAGGCAGCATGGGTTGAGTGGAACATGGCTGTGCTTGGCGTCTTATAGACATGGAGGAAGAAGGGCCTTGGCTTAAAAGGTCGGTTCTGCCATTTATCCAGGGTGCAATCATAGCAGGTTGCTCACCTTCTTCTGAGGCTTTATTTTTTTCACTTATAAATAAACTTTCAGAGATGTTCTGAGTTTAAATAATCAGGCAAGGATAATTTAAATTATTATTTAAATAAGCAGGAAGGATACTGAAATACACTATGCATCATGCTAGTCTCATTATAAGTCTTACAACAGAAAGCCTGATTTTGTTCTTTGCTGGATCTTGGACTCTTAAAGCTACTCTATTCCCAGAGTACCAAGTGACTGGTAGTGTAACTTAACGATTAACAATCTACCTTTGAAGCCAGTGACCTAAGCTCAAATCATAACTCATCTACATATTACAATGCTGTTTTTATTTAACCCTCATTGTGCCTCAGTTTTCTCATCTGTAAAATAGTGAGAGCAATGGATTCCTTATAGGGTGGTCATGAGGATTAAATGAGGTTATACACATGCACTGCCTTTAGCACAGTGCCTAGTACAGAAGAGGCATTCAGCAGAAGGCAGGGCTGCAGCTGCTGTGGTAATTTATTAGTCTGGTTTTCACTGCCATTATTAATTAATGGGGGTGGTGTTAAACGCATTGGGAATTGACTCAGGCTTTATCCAGCTGGCTGGATAGGCCTCCTGGTTTTCTTAGCTCATTGGCATGTATGATGCAGTGTAAAATTCACACTTGTTACTGCAGTAACAGACATATTCAGAAGCCACGCTGGGGTTATCAAGGGATCATGTGGCAGCTTCTGTCCATGAGCTTTATAGCTGAAGACCAGATAAACAATAGCTGATGTTTACTGAAGTCTGTTTAGCAACTGTTAGCAAGGTACTCTTCTAAGGCTGTCCCTGCGAGAGCCTAATCATCCCCATTTCACAGAGAGGCAAACCAAGTCTCGGCCAGCCTAAAAACGTGCCCAAGGTCACGTAGCTAACAGGTGCAGAGCCAGAATTGTATGGGGGCCACGCTGAATCCACCTCACTCTGCCTTCTGCTCAGCAGCAGGTTCTGACAGGTCCTAGGAAATGCTTAGAATTCAGCCCTGTGTCCCACCCCAGAGTCTTACTGGAATGTCACAGGAAAAGCTACCCAAGATAAAGTCTCATAATCAATATCCAGAATCAACTTTCAACCCAAGTTGAGGGGCTGTTACGGGGTCATCAGGCCAGGCTGGACCAACTGCCCAGGCTAGTGAGACCCCTTTGCCCTGGTAACTGCCCTGACAGACAGATGGCTGGAAGCTCAGGACTCTGCGGGAATCATTTTCAAAGGCTCCAGTTTACAAGTTGGGGTCAAACTCAACTGCTCTGGGGGCAGCCTCCGGGTCAGGGTCCCTGCCTTTCATTCATAAGGAAGCTTTCCTGATCTGATTGCCAGGGAGGAGGTTACAAAACAAACCTGCCCTGTCTTCTCCACCACTTAAGACAGCTTTAACTAGATGTTGCAGAGAGACTTCCAGATTGTTGCCCTTTCTGAAGTGATTTTGTTACTGTTTTAAATAACTCCATTTTGTGGCTACCTGTATCCTGTTCGGCTGATTATAGTTAAAGAACATGATAATTGCCTGCTTTCATTTGGCTCTAAAATAAGCCCCGAGCGCCCTGCCCAGCCCAAGGTTGGGCTGGTGCACTGCTGCTCTCAGCAGCAGGGGTTTATTCGTATTACAGATAACATGCCTTAATCTCCATGACACCACCACCAGGCCTCGGCAACCGCGGCTGCTGGGGAGACCTTATCATTAGCATCTCTGTGCTCCCCGGATGGGTCTCTTTGAAACTGTGGCTGAGGGCAGATACAGTCTCTGAAGACGATACTCAAAGCAATGCAAACCAAGCATAGGCAACCCTATGGGTCCTGTACTGGGTGCCCGGCTCGTGACGTTACGGTTTACTTAGAGCCGTTTTCCTGATTCTGCTCTTCTCCAACTAGACAAAAATTACGACCAACAGCACGATTTCTCCTAAAAAGACAAGGTTGAATTTCAAAGGCGTGAGTGCAGCTCATTTAAGGTTGTTACTAATGGTGGGCACCAGCATTTATTAAACACCTACTATGTGACCATGAGGCCAGGTACTTTACCTGCCATGACTCTAATTCACTTTGGCTAAAAATTTGCCCCCAAACCAGTCTTGAAACAGCTTAATGTTTACAAATATGGCCCTAAGAACGTAAAGACCCACTGAGGGTCATATTTAAACAATTTTCAATCAAAAATTAGGAAAAGCAAAGTGACTCACTAGGGCAGCATGTAAAAAATATGTATTCTTTGTTGGGTTATAAAGTGTGTTCTCTGGAGCAGTTTTCAACTTCCAAGTGTCAGGGCATGGAGCAGGAACATAGGAAATTCTAAACAAAGGGATTGTCACCATGGGAAGCCTTACTCTTTCTTACACCTTAGCAGCCAGGAGAGTGGAAAGCTCCATCTGTTGATCTGAATGCTAATAGAAGATCCAAAAGGAGCTTTTCCTTCTCTCCTTTCTGCCTAGGTGGCCAACTCAACCCATAGCCTCTTCTTACAGAGACTGTACTATTCTTTAAGATCAACACAGCACATCTAACACAGCAGAGGTGGTGAGTTGAAGCTGCCTTTGAAACCTCTGATGAAAAATCACTAAAGCCTGCCTAGTTAATGAGCACCCATCATTAGAACAGAATAAGTGCCACAAGGCTGCACCAACCAGAAGCCTAGTGCACCAGGCATCGGGGCCCCTCGGGGTCGAGTACAGAGCCCTGAGGGTGAGCCTCACTCTTTTATAGATTAAGCAGAGGGTTGATCAGCCTCAAGTGCTTTTCATCAACTG